GCTTAAATTGATAGCTTCGGAGGTTAACCATAGTGCCCACATCTACCCTAGTAATGAAATCGAGTTTAAACGATGATACAATTATTCAATTAATTCTTGTATTAATTTATTTGAAATCCGATGGCACGATTTGAAAGATACACGAAATTTCGTGAATTATGTCTCCTCCTAGACAAACAATTTACAGGAAATTTCTGAATTTTCGAAATAGAGTTTAAAAAATTGCAATATTCACTTTGCTTCTGATATTTTCTATATTTTTTTATAAATGGATAAAATTCGCAGTTCACTCGTTATAATTGTAGAAGTCTATCTGGGCTCGTGTCCGTCGATGAATAACAGTTTTTCCTGAAACGAAGCTGGCGAGTTATTTCACGCGGCGATGCCTCGCTTCTGTGTCTATCTTCGATGTGCTTTCATCTTTTAACCCTTTCTCTCTGTGTGCGTTCGTTTCTTTCTTTTATTTTTTTAGTTTACATCTTCGCCTCTGCATGGTTGTTGTCACGCCGTGTCCGCCTGATCACCGAATTTTTTACCGGTCGAGTGTATTAAATGGTACAAATGGCTCCGGCGAACCTTCGGTCGCGTCGGGGCTAGAAAAGTTGTCGAGAGTGGAAAACTGTAGCTTCGCCGCCAATTTCTGGGCTAAGGAAGAGCCAGCGTGGCCTGCCGGATTATGAGTTCTTCTTTTTTTCGAGCGATAATCCGGTGAAAATTCACGAGGAGTCTCCTCCTACGCGTTCGACGGCGGAGAAAGCGTTTCGTTAGGAAAATTTTGGCGGACGCTCGGCTTCGTTAAGCATTCTCCTGCGAATGAGAAATTCTTCAGAATTTTTAATTCGCCGGTATGCAAAATTGTATTAATTGCTTCCCCTTAGTTATTCTGGACGCTGCTTTTTTGTGGTAATCAAATTCTGCGATGGAGATGGTGTCTATACTCGCGGTCCCGAAAGTCTAGGACCGGGCACAGTTCAGTTTTTGATCGTTCTGTGCATCTCAATGCTTTACCGTGTACATATACTGAACCGTGTGGAGGGAGTTCGCTGCGATCCCCAACATCTTCCAAGCTGAGGGAAAAGGATCCTACACTCTTGGGAACGCGAGATTAACTGTTCTGTGTTCAATTTCCCTATTTCGATCAGTTTTTGTTGAATCTGTTGTTGACTTGTTGGGTGTAATTCCGCTGTATATTTTGGCCGTTCGCCGTTCTGCAGTTTCGTCCTAAAAATTCGAAACGTTAGAAACGAGACAGAAAAAGAAATACAAGGTGTCCCAAAACTAGTGTAAAATAATGAAATGGGAGGTTCCTGACGTAATTTTAAACAACACTTCCAAAAGTAAGCGAAACTTGGCGAAAAAGTTGTCCGTTGAGAAGTTATTAACAAAAAACCTCGACTAATCAAAGCACTCGGTTGGTGCGAGCTGCGAATCGGGAGCGTTGACTCGGATCTGGACGTCCGGCCTTTGACGCGTGAACAACAGCTCCGCTCATCTGTAATCTAATTGTTAAACATGTACCTAAGTTGCCTAATCCCTTATCTAAATCAATAGTCACTCACCAAAGTTATCATTACTCACGCTGAACTTCGTCACCTTCCAAACCTTTTCCACCACTCCTTCACGTCCAAAGATCATTTTTCCCATGATGTAAAAACATAAGGTGTGTTCTTCCGGCGTGTTCA